GATCGACTATTAATAGTTTGATTAATACGCATCGATTGAGAGGTAATCCTTCAAAAAAGTGGTCCACGGGACATCCTACTGTTTATGTGGAATTTCGTTTCTATATTGGAATTTTATAGCAAATTATGAGCGTTGAAGCCATTGGAGCCATCCCCATAAAATTTTACAGGCAGGATTTTGTTTATATGAAACCTGTTATGTTAAGTCTTGTTTCTGTATTGGAATTTTGTAATAAATTAAAAGCTTTAAAGTCACTTTATATGGGGGATGGGGTCAATTATGAACCGATCTTTAAACTTGTTTATGTCAAATTTCATAACTAAATATCCTGTTTTTATGCGGGAACCCGTGCCGGAAATCTATTAAAATGTGTAAAATAGTGTAAATGAAAATGATATTATCTTAACATTTCGAACCAGAGACAGTAATTGTTATTATTTTTATTTAAAAAAATTAAAATTACAAATTTTATTTGGTTTGTGTTTTATTTCTCAGAAAATACAAATTGCTTTTGATTTGAATTTTTTATATTTTTCGTAAAAATTACTGAGAACTTTTTCAAATAAAAATCAATAATAAAAAACACAAATAATTTTTAAGCCATAAGGCACAAATAAAAATCAGGCAATGATTTTTTAAAGAGAGATTAATAGAAAATTGGTAAAATTTCTTTACCACTGATATCATCGACCAAATTTGCAGAAATTGTGCAGAAATTAGATTCGAAAATTGGAAAATTAATATTTTTTAGGTGATTTTTATTCTTTGCTTTGAAAAATAAAAATTATTGATTGATTTCTATTTTTTGTTTGAATAAATAAAAATTACTGAATGAGTATTATTAAAAACAACATAAATAATTTTTTATTGAAACAAATAAAATTAAAATCAAAAATAATTTTTATTTTCAATTTTTATTATAAAAATCAAGAAAAAAAGTTTATTGAAGAAATCGATAAAAAAAGGTCTGGGAAATATTTTGGTACATTCAAAACATTTCTAGGACGATTCTTTCATACTGATTTTTTTAACCAAAAATTTCATAGATAATAATTATTTTCTGTCTCTGTTTCGAACAAATCTTAGAATATCTTCTAGAGAAATATAGCACACCTTTTGTTAGGTTTTTATTCTTTTTATATTATTACAATAAATTAAGTTAGAAAAACATGATTGATGGCAAATTCAAGAACGAAGGCCAGTTTATGTAATAAGTATCAAAATTCGGTGTAAGTCGGCAAAATAACGGTAATAGGGCTTTTTATACAAAACTAACCATAAAAAAACTGTTTCATAATTATAGCGCACTCTTTGAAATACGTTGAAACAATATTGAAAAATGTTAATTAATTTTGAAAAATTGCAACTAATTATTATGAAAGGACAGTTGTCTATGCTTCTAAATGCAATTTAATTTGATGTGACAAATATTAAGCAGTTGTATTTGGTTATTTTTGCTGAAATGTGTCTTATAGTACTAGTAAATTACTTTATGTCAAAATATGCCTCTAATTGGTCAATAGTCCAATTTTTTTAATGAGAATTATATCTAGTGACATTGGAGATAACTTTGACATGAAATTTTAAAATTTTTTCCCAGGTAAACAACAGTCTGACCCTCTAACATGGGTCACTTTTTGACAGATTTAAGATCGTGATGATAATTTTATCAAATTTCACCATGAAACCTTAAAAAACTTGCTTCTAATGTTTAATAATTATCTATGGAATAATAACACATCATTACTATGATCTGAATATGCTTAATTCTATGTAAGCTAAACCTCACATGTAATATAAAAAAATTAAGAACTAATATCTAATATCGTATTACATCGATTTGATAATAAACTTGTATGTATATTAATTAAATAAAAATAATAGTTTTCATTCGAATTGACCTCCATTTTCCATTTTTTGAAATTAAAATTTCCATTTACTGAAAATAAAATTTCCATTTATAAGAATTTTAAAAACATTTTTTGGTGGTGTTTCAGTTAGCACATGTGCATGTGCTAGAATATGAAAATACTAGAGTCACTAAATTTTAACCTTTTGGAGAAAATATGATCACATTTTTGGGCCTATTTAAACATAGGCCTAGTTGAAATATTAAAAATGCTCAATGCTATCGCGCTAAATTCAGAAATTTTGGATCTATCAAGGAAATATTCTCATATAACATTGACCAAATTGTTATCAAATGTTTATAAATTATATTATAATTGATTAATTAACGATTCATGTCTTCAGAATTTAAAATCGCTGCATAAATTGATTGTAAATTGCTAAAAAATTAATTTGTTAAAAAAACCCAAAATGTTCGCTACACTTAGGCAACTAAATACCAACTGGGACTAAATGGGTCTTAAAATATAGGGGCAGAAGTATTTTATCATCCCGAGATCCAATATTGATAAACATTTCATTTAAGAATATTTTATTGCTAATTTGATTATAAATGCGCTATAATTTTGAATCAATAATTAAGGACTTGTTTCGTAAAATATTTTCTAGCGCAGTTATTTTGCTATTTTAAAATAAATTTCAATATTGTTTTAATAAAGTATGCTTTAATTTACCGCCAAAAAAAATTATTACCTAAAGCTTTTTTAATGGTATAAAAAGAGAAAATAATAAACAAAAAATGCGCTATATTTTTGAGCAGTGCTTTATATCAGAGGACAAGCAACAAAGTTATTGACATATTCCCAAACCTTCAAAATAAACCATAATGTTTTTATACCTTTCACCTTCGTGAAAAGGGTATACATATATAAGTTTGTTATTCTGCTCATAATTTAAAAATATGTATTAAGTTTGTGTCCTCATGAGGTATAAATACAATATGGGCATTTCCATCGTGACGAACGTTCCGGTCATACGTTTTAGAGGTGAAAAATTAGGATAATATATGTACATACATATGAGCAAAATCAAAAATTTTTAAGAATTAAGCTATGTATACACGGTTGTTAGATCTTACAACGTTGGCAGTAAAATGTGCAGAAAATGTCTAACAACGGTGTCAATTTTCAAACTTGATCTTGCAATATTGTCAGTAATGCTTTTTCTGACAAAAAAATTGCAAGTTCACACGATTGTTCGACATTTTCTGCATATTTTACTGACAACGTTGTAAGATCTGACAACCGTGTATCAGAGCTTTTAGATACAATTTTTTTCGAAATTTGTATTCTTCTGACAAAAACCACATTTAGTGGTAAATTATAAATAAATACTAAAATGTTAATGTTATTTAAAAAAATTATTTTTTGCAATTTATTTCAAAAGCCATTTGAAGTAGCTTTTTCGTAGATTTTTATATCAAATCTAAGTACATTTTTTAATTTTTTTTTGGACTGATTTGAAAACTTAATTTTAATTATGTGTTATTATGTATAAATTCATAGTGAAATGTGTTCAAATTGTTAAAAATTTTGCTATATATCTGAGTTTATTTTTGAGGTTATGAAATCCGTACCTAGGTCGTTAAATTGTATATCCTTAAAATATTTTAATGCGCACCGGATTTTGGCATAATGCAAAAAGAGAGCTTTCATTTGACACTAATATTTCCGCAAATCATATGGCGCTATAGTTGTCTGAAAGCAAAATATTAAGTAATATAAATCCACCATAAAACACAAAGTCGCTCAACCAAATTTTTTTTAATTGGATTAGGCATAACTTCCACACAAAGCCCATAAAAATGGATATATTCACTTCAATAACGCAAAAAAAAACTTTCAAATGTAAAACTACCACATTACTGACCCTTCTGATGATAATACAATAATCGGTCATAACTCCCATATTACTTTTTTTCATACATTTCTTAAAAAGATCATTTGTTGAATTTCTGTGCATTTTTCTCCTCTTATCAGCTAAAAAAATCATAACTATCACCTAATTGAATAAATTGCATAAATATCACATACATATTTTTAAATAACAATGTTTCACAATTCGAAGATTGCACTTGAAAAACTTTGAAATTCTATAAAAAATAAACCAGCTTATATTTATTTTTGTTTAAATTGAGTTCCATATACTAAACTTGATTACGATTCAAAGTTTTGAACACTTCTGAATGTCAACTAAAAAGTTATCGGGATATATCCTGTTTCAACGTGACAATCGTGAAATTTAGAAATCTATAAAAGGAAATCGAAAATTTGCCTTTTACGCATATTTATCTTTTTATATTTCTATGCTTTAAGATAACTATTATTCCAACAAATATTTTACGATAAAAGTCCATTAGCCTTTAAAATTATAAAAACTATTAAGAGAAAATGTTAATAAAGATGAAAATTATGCCTATATTTTATTGTAACTTTCGATTCCGATAGTGGTTAAGAAGACCTGTGGGGTCTATAATTTAATAAAATTTGAATCTTTTTCTATAATTTGAATTTTATTTTTGATGACTTTTAGTTTTTGAGCCACGGTGGACTTTTCGGTGGAAATGCCCATATGTATACGTAAATAAATACAAATTTTAAGAGTAGATGCAGATGTACATATTTTAATTTTTTTTAATTCTTTTATATACTGTGAACGTCAAAAGAAAGTGTACAGCAATTTCAGTTCTACAAAAGTCTTTGTAACAGTACAGTTATCGATAAAAATTAAAATGTTTTATTGCAGTTTAGAGGTTTATATAATACAAATTTAACTGTGATCGACCAGTGTGAAACACAGTCTTAGATTATAAATATTTTCTAAAAACAATGCTGATTTTTAAGTGAGCATTGGAAGCATAGCTCTTTCGTTTGTTGAATGTATCGGAGAAATGCTTATGATAGGGCTAAAAAAATAATTTTTTAATATTTTAATCGTACACTAAACTCTTATTTACTGTATTTTTGCAATCGTACATTTGCAATCGTACATGATCAAAAAATTGGTCTATATTCGAATATGTAAAATAGATATTTTTTTTTATTTCATTTGTTTTAAGAAGTTTAAAATCCTATTCTTTTTTAATATTTTAGATGGCCACCACAAATGTTTACGATTACTGCCGGCACTACTGATCTTTATAATGGAGGTTCACGTATTGTTTTAGAAAAAATTACTGTCAATCCAAATTATAATGATCTTACAACAGGCATAGCTCTATTAAAACTTTCTCAGCCTCTAATATTTAGCGATTACATACAACCGACTGCTTTGTCTAAAACTGATCCACCTGTCGGTGCTGAAGTAGAAATTTCCGGTTGGGGTCGAATAAAACATGGAGAAAATGATATGTATCGTACTCTTCAAATTAATGATGCTACTTTAATTGATGCTTCCGAATGTTTTAGAACCATGGGTAGTACCAATGATGAAGTAATATGTTTGGGGCATACGCGAAAAAATGGAATATGCCAGGGCGATTTTGGTTCTCCCGCTGTTTACCACAATCAATTGATTGGAATAGCGGCATCTGTATTGGGTGAATGTGGCAGTTTCTTACCAGACGTGTTTACTAGTATGGCTTTCAATTATAACTGGATAATGGAGCAAATGATGTAGATTTATAATTGATCTTTCTCAACAGAATTCATTTTTCACAAGAAATACACAGAAAAAAAGTTTTAGCATAAATACATATTATGAACTGTTTTCATTGACAAAAGTTAATAAAATTTAAAAACAAGTTTTTCAAACAGAATCTAGAAGGCTTGTCGTAAAATATTTTAATCTTAACTTTTATTTTTGTATTTGTTAAAAAATGTATGGCATTTTCTTCAGAACATTTTTTATTTCTCGTGATCTTTATATTAAAATCGATGAAATGTGCGCGTCATTTGTGAGATTTTATGAGGAATTAATATTAAACTATGTATACTGATGTTTTCTTATTTCAGATTTTGTTTTTCAATATTTTTATATCTTTATCATACAAAATTCGCTAATACAGGATTATTATCTACAAAATATGGAAACTGTGCCCGTAAAACACATTACCAGGATACACTTAACAGGTATATGCATCACTACAACAATACAAAAACAACATGTATTTTTGGCAGAGACCTGTCAATGGACCCAAAAAGCAAGATTTTGGAATAACCTGATTTGTGCCACTAAATTTATATCTTTCGCTACCAAAGTTTATCTAAAGAAAGTGGACCAGTCAACGGGCGCAATACTAAAGGTTATTGATTTCTGAATTGGCCTGATTTGTGCCAATAAAGTTGTGTTCCAAACGGATGAAGTTTGGCTAAAGACAGCGGACCTAACAAAGGGTGCAATGCGGATGATGGTTGAAATGTATTTTTTGTGCAAACAATATTATTTTTTTATAAACTAAACATTTTTAATTTTTAATTATTCAAATTTTATTTTGTTACAATAACTTCAAATAAACAAAAACAAATTTTGACAGAGAAGGTATGCAAATAAGAAAACAAAAAAATTATCAGCTGTTCAATTGCATATACCTGTTTAATGTATACTGCACATTACAATTATCCAAAATATATTTAAATTATGTGTGTTCACCCTGTTTTAACCCATTTACGGTCGCTGTGCCAATTTGGGAACACTTAATTTTTAAGACTGTATTAAAAAACGGTTAACTCTGGTTTATTTATTTTTTCAGTATTGAGTAGAGGAAAGTGCTCAGAATAAATATTAAATCAAACAATTTAACTAAATTCATTGTTATTGTTGTAATAATCTATTAAACTTCAGTGGACAAAAATATACTAAAAACATGTTATAAAATAAATTTGTTATAATTTTTTAAACAAAGTATGACAGTTATTAATTTGAAACAAACGGTCTAAAAATAATCTGATAACATAGTAGTGCCCGTGTCTGCCATTTCACTCTGTTTCTAGTTTCTGGGACGTCTGTAAATCGTTAAAAAACGCGAGCTACATAAAAACGGAAATCCTCTCTAATGTCCTAATTATTAATATTTTTTTTTTCGTTTCTACTTTTTTGCATTGTTGAAAATAAATATACCGTGAAGTTTCAAAAATTTAACTTGTACTTTTTGATTGGCTGTAAATGGGTTAAACAAGACGATAATAAATTTTTCGAATTTTTTTGTAGAATCGAAAGTTACAGAACACAGGCACTGATTAGTTTTTTTTTCAATTTTTTTATGAATATCACAGATAATGAGAAAAAAATTAAAAAATTACATACATATGCATACATTTTACAACTTTTCCTATTTAACAAAGGATAGTGTTATAAAACAATAAAGCAATCACCTGTAAATTCGGCACTTATTTAGGTTGACACCATGAACACAATTTCAACTATTATTTGGTGCCGGTTCACACAGGTACACTTTTTTGGAAAACTTTTGATTTTGTGTGTGAGAAAAAGAGATCGAAATATCAACCATCTCTCTCTCCCACACATAAAATCAAAAGTTTTCCTGTGTGAACCGGCACTTATAAGTCATAATACCAAAAAAAGTTGAGTTGTTTCAATTTCAACTAAACTAAGTTGTAAACCGTAATAGGAGCATTATATTTCGGAGTTGGGAGATAATGCATGTTTTCACACTGGGAAAAAAGTTTTCACTGTAGACTTAATGTCTACACATAGTGCCCGTCTACACTAGGAAACTTTTTTTGGGAAACTTTTGATTTTGCGTGAGAGAGAAAGAGATAGACGTTACTCTTAAAACAAATCAATGCTATTAACAAAGAATAAATAAGAAATGAAACTGTTGTCAGGGATGGCAAAATTGGTACGATGGTACTTTTTTTGGTACTTTTTGATGTTCAAAAATACCGTGATACTCCCTAGTATTATTTGATACTCTCAAATCATCTTTAAAATTTCAAATTATTATTCAAATTTGAAATTCCTAGAATGTTTTAGCACATATCTACATAAAATTATCAAAAACGCATCAACTAAAAGTTCTAGAAAAAAAACGGCGAATAAAATTATAGAGTAATGGAATTATTTTCACTATTACCAGAATTAAAGAAATCAAATTTTAGAAGCCACTTATTTAGAAGTATGTTTGCAAATCACTAATGCAGCACATTTCGAAATGGAATTTAGAATTTTTTCTTGATTGGCATTATAAGAATATTAATCTAATTAAAATTCCATTGTTAATATTTTATGAGAAAATTACCAAAAATTTCAATATTGAAAAAATGTTTGACTTTAAAACTCATTATTTCCAAATGACAGAAACTCGAAGGTTTCAATCAAAGAATAAATAAGAAATGAAACTGTTGTCAAAAGTACCTAAGTCTACTGTCATCCGGTACCTAACTCTAAGAATGTATTAGTAGAATTCTCAAGTCAACATAGTTGCAAAAAACCGTATTGAAAAATATTGAAAAAAAATATTACATTTCAATTTATACTTTGAAAGGTTTCTTAAGATATTTTCCACATATTTTATCTACAAACATTATATAAACACGTCTATTTGTTTTTTAATCTATAATATTGAAAAAATAAATTATTTATTTGAAATATGTTTTTCGTTTACCATACGAAAATTTACAACATTGTTTTTTTTTTAGTTTTAATTTCAACCAACAAAAATTCAATGTCAAAAAATAAAAAATATTTTTTTCGTTTGTAAAAAATATATTATTTTCGGGCTATTAAATGTGTTTAAATCAGCGGTTCCCACCATTTTTTACTTCGCGGACCCCTTGAGGAATTTATTTAATTTCACGGACCCCCATACATATTTTGATATCTTATTGTTATAAATAACACTGTGATACAAAAGTGAAGAAAAATAAAATGCAGGCGTTCTCATATACCAATTCTATTTCGTTATAGTCCATAGAGTACGAATATATTTTTAGTTTTCCCCTATCACTTCGTTAACTTACTTTTTAAGAGCAAAAGATGCGAAAAAGAGCCATTTTTGAAGTTTTAAATTTGAAAAATCATAAGTTTAGTAGTTTTCATCCGATTTTCAAATCCGATTTTTTTTTTTTTAATGATACAAGTGTCTTTTAATCCAAAAAAAGAAATCCAAAATTTATGGTCAAATGTCTGAGTTACGGTCGTTTAAGTAAAAAAACTCACACTTTTTTAAAAAATTTTCATTTTCATCATGCTCTACTTTGACCATGAGGCAGTGAGTTCATCTTTTATTACTTTCCTGAAGAATCACATAAAGGAAGGTTTCTAAAACTTGTTATTTCATAAAAATCTATGAAAAACTGGATAATTTATGCCAATTTTTCTAATAGCATGTTTTTCGAATTTTTGGTTTTCTCCATACAAATTAATTTTTGTATAAAAATGTTTATAAACATTTTTTAAACTTGTTACAAAGAAAACCAGAAACATGAACGTTTTTGTATGGAAGAAATATGCTATATTTTTATAAAACTTAGCACAACTCATAACCTTTTTCATCGATTATCATAAATTGACCATCATTGGAAACCCAACTTAATGTGGCTTTTTTCAAATGTAATAAAAGCTAAAGTTATTGCTTCATGGCCAACGTAGAGCAGTATGAAAATTAAAAATTGTGAAAAAAGTGTGAGTTTTTTTACTTAAATGGCCGTAACCAAGACATTAATCATAAATTTTGGATTTATTTTTTTGGGTTGGAAGACAACACTTGTATCTTTAAAACAAAATATCCAATTTGAAAATCGGTTGCAAACTACCAGACATATATTTTTTTAAAGTTAAAACTTCAAAAATAGCTCTTTTTCACAACTTTTGCTCTTAAAAAGGAACTAAACGAAGTGATCGGGAAAAATTAAAAATAAATTCCTACTCTATGGACTATAACGAAATGGAATTGGTATATGAGAACCCCTGCATTTTTTTGCTGTATCACTGTGTAATTGTTCGAAAATTGTCTTAGTCCTGGTCCATAAACCCTATAAAATATTCCCGTACATTGAGAACATTTAGTATTTCGGAGATGTTTTCAATTTCATGGTTTTAAATATAGAATGACTTCTAACATGATGTTTAATTTTATGATCGTGAGAGCTTTCATGTTCATTTCTCGTCAAGGTAGAGAAAAGGTTTCTTTAACAAGTATTGTCGACATGTGCTTAAAGAGTCACGTTTCTAAATTTTTTTGCGATTGCATAGGAGTGAGCTGAGTATGTAAGCTAAATTTTCGGGAAAATATGTGAAAGTTAGACTTCTTCGATGTTGTTGCGGAATGCGTTACCCACATAAAATATGACTTGAACTCTTTGCGAATGTACTGTGAATTTGGATCTTAAATTTGAATTTTAAAATACCTACGAATTATTTTACTGCGTGGTTTTGACTATTTACGCAAAACGCTATGAATTTTCTGATGTTGATTTAATAATATTGGACAACAAAATGAAGTTAAAATCTGTGTATCACGTTGGAATGGAATATTTATATTTAAAATTAACTAGATTAACACTTTTGCTTACAATTTAAAAAAATATTATGAAATGTGACCTAACTTCATATTCCGGGATACTAGTATCAGTATTTAATTCTAAGGCAAATCATTATCCGTCTGCTATAAAAACATTTATATTTATAAAAATTACAAATCACGTAATACTTTACTTTATAAAAGTGAAACAATAAATTTGTAGCGCCTAGCTTCATCCTGATAAACGACCGAAACAATAAAATTCAAAGAGTCACCAACAAATCTGGGATTATTGAATAAAAATTGTGTATTTTAGTATTTATGAAAAATTTGGAGATATTTTTAATATTTTGTAACATATAGAGAATAT